TTTTTTTGGTTTGGATTAATCATTATAACATTCTGTTAAAAATCTAAAAATTATCACTGGTTCACTACATTACATCAATATTCATCGCATAACGAATGTTGTTGCGTTGTTTCAATATCTATCAATAAATTATTTAACGAACACCAAGTAAAAGTTATATAACTATTATTTGATGTTTGCTAGGTATGTTATAATATACTGTGAACACTATAAGGATAAATTATATAAACAAATCGTAAGAATATCGTTGGAGTCATTGGTAATCGCCGCGTGCCACTCGATTGTTAGATTGAGCAACACTTTGACAGAGTCAGGACATGGATGGGTGGTGACCGGGGTAGGTTAATATATACCGCTCGAGATCGAAATTATCGAGGGAAGATTTCACGAAAGTTTGTAGTGTTGTATTTGACAATCTTCGAGTTTAGTAGTTTATGAGATATAAGAAAATTAGGAATTATAAATATATTTTTTTAAATATTATGATTTTCTCATTTTTCACATTCGCACAATAATTCTCTATTTGATTATTATCAATATTTAATAGTTTAATATTAAAAGTTTTATTATCAGTATTCATCAGAAATTAAGTACTGACGAAAAAATTAGTGAATTACTGGTAATACATAATCACTAATAATTTTTTAGTATTTGTTAGTATGATATTCCTATAAGGGTCCCAGGTAGCAAGGTGACGTCTAAAGACGTCATTAAAACGTCATAGACGTCTTAATAACGTCTTAATGACGTCTTTAGACGTCACTTTGCTACCTGGGGTGTTATCTGGGGTTTTACTTTGTATAATAAAACATTAATAATATTACATATACAGAGTGTCTTACACTCTCCTCCGGGCATTTTGTGGGGACGTAGAATGGGTTGATAAACATAAGTCATATATCGTTTTGCGATATTCTCAATAATAACCGAGAAATTAATTAAAGAAGATTGGTGAATGATCACGCGCGATATGGTAGATGAGCTGCAGTAGCACCGACTGCCGTTGTATACTTATACATTAAGTCAAACTGAACAAAAAAGTCCTCTACCATTTTGCAAATAACCACATAGATTTTTAGATATTAATTAAAGAAAATTGTTACATGATTGTGCACCACAATGCACAAATTTTCTTTTATTAATATCTAAAAATCTATATGGTCGTTTGCAAAATGGTAGAGGACTTTTTTGTTCAGTTTGACTTAATGTATAAGTATACAATGGCAGACGGTGCCACTACAGCTCATCTACCATATCGCGCGTGATCATTCACCAATCTTCTTTAATTAATTTCTCGGTTATTATTGAGAATATCGCAAAACGGTATATGACTCTTATGTTTATCAATCCATTCTATGTCCCCACAAAATGCCTGGAGGAGAGTGTGAGACACCCTGTATATTGCATTGCAATGTTGCTGTACAGTTGCGTTGTTATATTGCCGCAAGCGGACATTTTACCGTTGCTGCAACGTTGCAGTAGCATTGCAGCAACATTTTGCAACGTTGTTGCAATGTCACAATATTGCAAAATAATGATGCTGCAATGTTGCTGCAACATTGTTGTGCTGTATGGGAGTAACCGAGAAAT